GATTACTCCGACTATTTATTTAACGAACGCATCATAATTAAATGCGAAAACGATGTCTTTTTTGCTTCTTGACACCTGACTTTTTTATCTAAAAGTGACCTTTCTGGAGAAAAGTGATCGAATATGTGTTAGAGTTTGTTTTTATCCAGACAAACTTCGACTTCTCAAACATCAGTTTATAATCAATTTTATAAAACTATCGAAACAATATTGCATCTTGAATCATTAATTATAAAACTACGAAAACGTATTGGCTGTTTTTGCTATTTTTTTCGGTTAAATAATGTAGATTAAAATACTGCAGATTGACTAACTTGGCAGAAAAAACTGCTCACGAGTTTTTTTAACGCTTGATTGAATGATACAAATCCGTTCAGGAAACAAAATTAATCAACTCCAACAAGCTAACTGCTATAAATATTGTCTTAGATGACACCAACTTCATCTCAGTTTTGTTTGACGCAAATGTATTGATCTGAAACTTGAAAGTAGATCAGTGCATTGTCTTCAAAAGTGATTTAGCATTTTGTTCCGATCACTTGAAACATAGGGAGGAATTTTGTATTCGGGTGTGTTTCAGTTTTTTTTCTTTTTTTCTTTTGCTCGCAAAAACAGCTACCACAATTAATCATCGGAGAGAAAAAGTATATATCTTTTAAAAATTTTTTCATGCGTGATTGGAACGACATTTAAAACCTTCCTAGTGTCGAGAAAAACCACTCTGAATTTTTTTGTGTAATTTGGAGTGAGTTGACATGGTTACAATCGCAAAACTTTAATAACTTACACGCTTAAAATGTTTGATTCAAGTGGCAAAAAATATATATTTTTACTCAACTAAGTTAGTTTTTTTGAATATTTTTGCGCTTTCTTGGAAACAGAAGCTTCAAAAATTAAAAAAAACTGCAAAAAAAATTTTTTTTATTTTTTTTATTTTCTTTGTTTTTCTAGGCATTTTCTGCAAAAATGCTTATCCAATTTGCCTATTTAACTACGACTGTTGAAAAGTCCTTTAGTTTTTCGTTCAGATTTTTTAAAATCAAATGACGCAGAAAAAAAACTACTACAATTTGAAAAGATGTTTTTATGGTATCTTTTCAAGACTATCGTCGGAAAAATTTGTGCAATTTGCACAGAAACCGGCTATCCTTGTTTTAGTGTTTCTGCAAATACCTTAACCCTTATAAAAAAAACTCATGGCACATCTAACAATAAAATTGGAATTTTGTATAAAATATATACTGTATAATGTATAAATCCATTTCTGATTTCAATATAAACGATTATTTTTTAGTTCAAAAATTCCATTAAAAACGATTAATTTTTGCAATTGTGAAAAATTTACTCTGTCTATTACAGTATTCTGCAAAACTAGAGCTCGAACGAAGATGTTCATACTTGCGTACAGTCCCCTCCAACATTGGACATCAACATCATCTCCTCATCCAATGCCCTCCCCCCCCCCCCCCCCCCCCCACACACACACACACACACACACAAACATTTCCATCCCCCCAAAACCCCCATTCTCACGCCTTCACGTTTATACTCTCCCAGTTTCCCACCCTCAACATTTTTCCCCTAAGTGGGAGGTGGCCTTTTTACAATTTTCTTATACAACGTGTGTTAGGACAAAAGCAACTGTCATTTCGTTAAAACTCTACACTCTGTTTAAAAATTATATAAAATTTTTTTGAATAGTTGTTATCCGCTATAAACGATTATATTCTATAAAAACAACTTTTTTTATTTGACACAAAAAAAAGAATTTAACCCATTTTTGATTAATCATATTTGATTATTTTGACTTTTGCGGAGACTGACCACGAAAACCTAATAAAGTCAATTATTAACAATAAAAAACGTTAGTTTGATAAGAGTTTTAAAAGCGCCATACGCTTCAGTGCCCAACTGAAAGTCAAACAAGTTTCTGCGAAAACCAAATTTACAAAAATACAACAAGTTTTTGATTTTATTTATCTTCATTTTTGCTTTTCCTTTTTTTTCAAAGAAAAATTGTTGCCAATTTTGATCAATTTATGTTCAGATTCTCTCGTCACACCAAGGTAAAAAAACTAAGAAAACTAAAACAAAAAAACTGGAAAAAAAGTTTTCAAACTATTTTTTTACAAGTTCATGTAGAAAAGTTCTGTGCTTTGTGCATAGAAACCAGCTATTCTGGCTTAGATTTGTAAATGTGATTAGTTGTGCATAGTTGTTGGTTTTTGCTAACTCTCATTTAATTATATGGTGATATTGACCGGCTAGCCCGCTAAATCGATTACTTTTCCTTTAATTACTGCATCGGTCAGTTAATCAAATAATGGTTGACTGGTTGATCAATTTATTGGCCTACACTTGAGGAGCGATTCTAATAATTTTTGATATGAATTTAGCTTCGAGCGTTCAGATACCCGTTTATTAATGATTGAATATTCTGAGATGAAATGGCAGAAAGTTTTGGCCTTTCCGACTAAAACGGTCGCCAAAAACATTAAGTCTCTGCTTGGTTTAACCTCAGAATAACAAATAACCAAAAAACTGTTTTCTTGTAGCGATATCCAAGAATTTTTCAGTGCAGTAGTTAACCATGTTTTTCAGGAGGAAGTTTGTTAATGATATTTGAGTTTCGTTGTTTCGTTGTGACTATCAGCATAAAATCAAACTACTACTCAATGTTTTCCTACTTGGTAGTCAAGACGCTTTTTGCTGCTACACAGAACAACCAAAAATCTAGAAGTTTATTGTAAAGTCAAAAACACTTTTTTCTCGAGTTTAGTTAGAAACATGAGCCTAAATCTGTCCAAAAAAGGTCACGGTTTTCAACTACTGAGTTTTTCGAAACATGGTGCTCATAGCCATATGCGAACAATTCCTTTTTTTAAAATATTTTTTGAATATGAGTAATTATATTCATTTAGCATATCACAATACATAGAACAATCTGCAATTTTAGAGCCGTAATTCTATTGGTGTTCTCATTTTTTTAAAGCGAAATACAAAAAACATGTTTTAACCCAAGGGGAAAAAGTTTATCCGACAATTCCTTTTTTGGAAAAATGGTAGCCAAGCAATTCCATCAATTTTTTAAGGGATTTTTGACGAATTTTGACGAAAGTTGTTTACGCAAGCCATAAATAATATTTCATGGAATCCAGCAAAAAAAGGTGTAGGTGGATAAATAAATTCGCCTAGTCTGAAAGCACATTACTGGATTGCATTACTGGAGTTTATGAAGAAATGCGTATCATAGAATTTTTTTAAATGAAACTTCTACGACAAGAATTTTTCTTCTTAAAAAAATTTCGAAATCCTATAAATTTGTTTTTATTTTTACTTGAAAAAACAGTACCGTTTTCTAACCTGAAGCCCTTTCGTTTGTAAAAAAGTTACTAAGTTTTTTTTTTGTGTGATACAAAGTTTTCCATTTTTTTTCCTATAGCGTAGTCCAGAAGCATTATTTTTACGCAAAACCAAATATCATCATATAGATTTTTTAATTTCAATTTAGACAAAAACATAAACTTAAACTTATCCAAAAAAGGCCACGGTTTTCAACTTCTGAACTTTTGAAATTGAAGCCTCATAGCCATATGGAAATAATTACCAACTTGTTGCAATAAATTGTGAAATTGAATAGTTATTTTTACTAGCATATCCTAATACGTTTGATAATCTGAAACTTTAATGCAGTCAACCTCATTGGTGTTATCATTTGTATAAAGAGGCCACAAACAAATTTCATATATGACAAAATGCTGTTCATACAAATCCAATTATGGAAAAAAATACGATTCATATTTTTTGAACATTTTTTTCTTCTATGAAATGTTATGCAATTGTATGATTTGTATGATGAGGACTTTTTCCTTTAAAGGAAAATTGTTTTGTCTAGCATTGTTTGTTAACCTGTGAATTTTTCCTTCGACTTGAAAGTTTATGGGAACAATCTAGTGATAAAAATTCCCTGATGAGAGAATGCTACTCATAGATTTTTCATGCAATTTTTTAAATGTATGAACTGTACAGTGCTGTTTTAAATTAACCGGACAAAACGCGTTAAACTAGAAATTTAAAACCCGTTTTTCTCAAAATGGGTCGAGTTCAGGTGAAAACTTATTAAGAAAAAACTTGCTTAAAGTTTTAGCAGAATTAATACGGTGTAATTTGTTTTGCGAAATTCGGGCCCAAAATTTTACCCCAAAATGGGTAATTTTGGTGTTTCTTAGTTAGTCAAAAATTACGCCGAAAATACCCAGTCGATCGCAGACTTAATATCAAAGTGAGCCCCTTACGTAGCCCAACAAACTTTAAGATGAGTATTATCTCCAAAAATTTGCGCAAACTGTTTAAAACTTGTTATTAAGCAAAAATTCTGGGTTTTATATAGTAAAAATCACATTTATTGATTATCAAGTAATTTTTTTCTCTTATACAGGTTTATGGAGATTTAACCCTGCTTAAACTTTGTTGGGCTGTGTAAGAGGCTTCTTGTGAAGTATTTTTCCTTATCAGTTAACAAAATAGTTTGAGCGTAATTCTTGAGTAAGTTAAAAAAGCCAAAATGACCCATTTTTGGTGGAAAATTTTTGTTGAGAATTTTGAGAAAAAATGGCACCATATTAATTCTGGTAAAAATCTAAGCAAATTTTGTTCTCTTCACTTTTTGTCTAATCTTAACCCAATGTTGGAAAAACGCGTTTCAAAATTCAAATTTTGTTCGTTTTGTCCGGATAATTTAAATCAGCACTGTATTGGCCATATATGCGAGTTGTATGACTCGCGTTTTTAAATCATTCTGGAAGTTCTTAATAATCAGGCAGGGCATCAATTTGCCAGTTCTCTATAGGTTTTCTCACCTGTGCGCTGTTACGTGATCAAACCGAGCTGCGAAATTTTTAGCTGCTAATCAAAAGCTCGACAAAAAATCATATACTTTTTTTTCTATCACTTAAATGATCTAGATGAATATTAGAGACATCGCTTGCTCTAGTTCTCACCTCACTTGTAGTTTGTGGATTGTAGAAGCCTTCTCTCCTCCGCTGGGACAAGTAGTGCTCACAGGTGGGAAAAGATCCATTCTCAGTCAACTGCAGGGAGAAGATGTGTTTCGACACTGAGATACCTCGGCCTAAATCATCCTCTGACACATTGGCACTGCTGTACAGTCGTTCACACCTGTCTTTCAAGCCGTAGAAGTTGGGCGATGGCTCAATCATTCGAAAAGTGGATGATCTGTTAAGTATGTTGGACGAAGACTCATTGATGAAGAAGTTGTTGACTTTGATCTGTTGCTTTGGTGAGAGAGGAAGATAGACGAAATAGAGGAGAGTGGTGAGGAGGACAGAGGAAAGGAATGTACACTTCAAGATGAAGACCCGGCCGATTCCCTTTGAAGTCATACTTGAAATAAGCGAACAGTTCAGGTCAATAAATGAGGCAACTAACTTAGTCGATTAGTAAACACTCGTTTTTTGTTCATCCTCTGACTTGGTTGGTTCAGGTGTTTAACAACGGGGGCACTTGCTCTTGAACTTGTACTGAAACTAACTCTGTTTTAGGCCCACACGTCGGTTTTGATAGGGTTTAGCAACCTTTGAAGCTCATAACGATTGTGTCAATGAGTGAATATTTGAGAAGGCATGAATTGTTTCAGTCATATTTGAATTACAGACTAGAAATTGTAGAATAAACTACTTGGAGGGCGCCTCTCTGTGTTGCTAGTCTAGATGCAGATGCGCGTGAAGCAGTTTGTCTGCAATAATGAGTAATGAGGGTAATAGTAACAACATTTCATTTCTGTGAAGCATGGTTACCCGCTTAATCAGCTAAGAATATCCCCCCCCCCCGCACAATATGTTCCCATCACAAAATTCACAGCAAAACTCTTCAAGTTTCACATTCCCCCAAAGCTTTTGACAGTAAGATTCGCTGCAAACCTAAAAACAAAGAAAGGTTTTCCAAAACTTCAAAGTTTTCTCGGAGGGCAAGCTCTTTTAAATGTTTAATGATAGTTTAGTTTTGTAGAAAAAGAGTAGATACAATCAGTTTCAGATACCATTACTTTCTTTCCCATCCACTTACCAAACGGTAAATTGGTAATTAAAATTGAAGTGCTTAAATTTTCAAACCACTACTTTTCTCTCCGTTATTATTTTTTTTGAATTCTCGAATTGCGACTGAAAGAGCTCTAGTGCAATACTACAGTTGATTTTCCTTCGAGTTACCTAACATCGCAGAGCGAACCCACACTACGCCATAGTTTCTTTTCTTCCCTTTTTGAGAATGGTCGGGAAAAAATGTTGTCAGGTTGTTATGGTCAGAAACTGAAACTGAAATGAGTCGAGTGCCATTGCAGTATATAAAGAGGAAGAGTTGGCTCTAAATGAACAATTTGTAAGGTAAATGATTTCAGTAGAAAGAGTAGAATGGTGGCCACCCGAGGACTTGTCATAAATCACCCAGCTGTCAATTGTCAGTCGACTGAATTGGAGGAAGTCTTCATGTGACCAAACTCTGACGACATCTCCACTTACCTCACATTATTTCATTTAGAGTTAGCTCTTTCTGTTCAAGTTACTGCAAATACACTTTGTGAGCGACTATGAAAAATGGGCTATTTGCATGGATAAAAATCGATTATATTAGATAATCTACATAATTAAATTGGTTCTTGAATAAATAGTTTTCTCTTTTAAGAACTGCTGAGATCTACATAGACTTATGTTAGTCTGATCTCTCAGCGGTGTACCTCTTCTTCTACACCCCCTGATTATACCCCCGCATTTACACCCGCCCCCGGTTTACAAACCAAACCGAACCCATCCCCCCCCCCCTTTTACACTCCCAACCCCGTTTACATAACAATTTTGCAAACGTGAAGAGGTTATAACCCATTAATCAATCAAAATGGATTGCAAATAGACTGCTGATCCATTCTAATGGGTTTTTTTGATTGTAAGTTATTGGAATTAGTCGATTAGAACACCAATGTTTTATGTTCAAATAATTTGGCAACAAAGACAGAGTTAATGACAACATTTTAGGCAATATTTCTCCCTTATAATGAAATTTTATTCATGAAAGACCGGTGCGGGCATGCTTGCCCGAACTGGCTTTTTATGGATAATAAACTATTACATATAGACTTTCAGTGGCTGTTTTTATAAAACTCAAAACAAACGATTATCATCGACTTAAAATTGACTTTACTTTTACTTTTTGTCAAACCAATAAAATCAATTTCAATCGATTATAACCAGTTATAATGGATTCTTATCAGTTTTTAAATTTTGTGAAAAAGTTTCAATCTCAGTGCAGTGTATTCAAAAATGGACTGTTTTTTTGACTGAACACAACGTTGCATTATATAAACTGTCAGAGAGGTACACGTTAGGGCGATAATGTAAGGGGTGTACGCAGGGGCGGATTTAGGGGGGGGGGGGCGCTTTGGCAGACGCGTTTTTCATGTATTCGACCCCCTGCTGACCCAAAGGGTCCACCCCTTTGGTACTTTTTAAGAAATCCTTTTTTGGCCTACCGACCCTAAAATTTTTCCAAAAGTGCCTTTGGTGCCAATATATACTAATTTTGAGAGGGAGCGCGCGCCAAAAAACGCGATTTATTTGTCAACATTTTCCAAAAAGTGCCCAAAAACGGCTTTTTTGACCTGTTTTTTCAAAAAGTTGCCTGCTGCGCAGAAAATTTGGCCAAAACAATGTTTTTTTAGTGCTTTAGGAGAGCTCGGAAAATTAATTTTGTCGACGTCAAAAAAGGTCGAAATTTTCGATTTTTTTTTTTTGAAAATCCGCCCCCCTCGAGAAAATGCTAGATCCGCCCCTGGTGATCGAATGGGGGGCTACCACGCGCGAACTATATACATGCAAAGTTGATTGGCTTAGATACGCAGCCAAGGGAAATGCAGAAGTTGTGGCCAGTCATGCAAATAAGTTTTTATCAAAAGTTTAGATAAAATAATTAGTTTTTGGGGCAGCGGTGGTGAGCGGAGCAGCTGTTAACCGTAGGATACTCGTGGTCATTTTTGATCCATGCTCGTTGCTTGATGGTGAGGCAACCTTACCCAGCCCAGAAAAATAGTTTAAAAAGTTTTAATTTTTAAGCAGGGGCGCGGTGTTCCATTAAAAGCTGAACAGCTCTTATGGAAATCCTTTCTCCTGTGAATAAATCTTTTCTTTTGTCAATTATATTGAGTCTTAAATCGATTATAATTGAATTGTGTTTTTAAGGAAATAATCTATTATAAAGACACTATAATCGATTTCATGCTCAATGGTCTAAGTTTGCAACAATATTGGATAATAAGGACAAAACTTTGGACAAAATTTTTCAATTATAAATTTTTTCCACAAACTCCGTTGTGGGTAAGTAATCGTTTGACCTGCATAAAGAGGCATTGGTAATGTCAAATTCAGAAAAGTTTGCAGATGAAAATAGTATTTAATTATTGGGAGAAGAAGTTGCATGCGCTCACTCAGCTGGGAGAAATAGGAGAGATAAATAAGTGTGGAGTAAATGAGAGTACAGACCATTCAAAGAAAGTGGCTGTCTGCTCACATGACAGAGTAAACAAGCCATGTAAACATGTGAGCTATAATGAGTTGAAACAAATGAGCTGAGCAGACAAGTGTTCAGGTGGACATTTGATTCATGGCCGTTATTGCCATACTCAGTTTCAGTTATGCAGTTCATACCATCAAACTAACTGGACTGACGAAGAAGTATTCTGTAGATTAGACTCAACACACAGTATATTTGATGTTGCTCGTGGTAGTGTGTTACAGCTACAGCAGTTACTGAAGCCCCACTCTTAAACTGCACAGCTTAATCACTTCACGAAGACACACGAGTTGCTCACACTCTCAGCTATACAATCAAAATAGCAGACTATTAAACTAATTGAATGTAGAATCAACCGTAAAACTTATTTCATTTTAATTATCACAACTGTGAACAAAATTCTAACCAGGATAGCCGGTTGCTGCGCAAGTATCACAGAATGTTCCGACCATACCGCTAATTGTTCTCCCTTTTCAATGGCTGTTTTCAGGCTGACCAATATAAGTGATATTCTACCGATTAAAAAACTAGAGCGTTGACCTTTGACGAGGAAGCTTCAACAAGAACACTCAAGGCAGTTTTGTTGTCTTGGGAGGCATCAAAACATCAAAATTTAAGCTGTCTGCCAGTGCTCGCAAGGTACCTTTTTCACCCGGATCGAGATCCATCACACTTTTAAGAGAGTAAAAACCGTGTAACATGTCATTTTGTAACAAAAATTGCATAAAAATTTTGGATATTGCCATAAGGTAATTTTTAAGTTCAAAATCCAGTTCACATAGCTTAGTCTGGCTTGTGAATCTTTTGATGTGAAAGTACGTAAGTACCAGAAATTGGTAGCGATGATTGCGCCACTGCTTGTTGCGGGTGGCGCTATCGGAGCCATTTTCAGGTTCGCACCGCCTGTGCCATGTCGCACGGTCACGTTTTTCATCAGTCTTTTCCGATTTCTTCGACTCGATAGACCCGTGAGATCTCAACCCGGGAGCAAATTAAAGCCAGGATGTTCAGAAGAACCGGGTCGAGATGCTTACTTTATTTTTTGACCGTGCTCGACCCAAGCGTGGCGGTCCTGCATGTGATCAGCAAATATGCTGTTCTAGCTAATTGCACATTAAAAACACATCACATCTACTGGATCAATTCGCTCAATGCATCTGTTACAATTTTGTCACAAAAAAGTCCGATAAAAACTCATTTCTCGATCTGCTCACTTCAAATATGTTCGAGGTATGTTTCGACTGTTTGTTTCGAGTTTGCGCTCGACATAAACCCTGACTCGGCTATTCTTTTTCGGTCGAACACTAACATGTCGAAAGTTGAAATATAAAGTGAGCACCTCGACTCGGGTGTCACTTGATTATTCATCGTTTTGGATGCAACTGTTGAATCACATGGTTTGACAATCAAACTCACTTTAGAGAATGCGACTCTGGGTTAATCTATTAATCGACAGATAGTAGTACAATTAACAAAAAGCAGTCGAATTATTAAATTTCAAACTAGATAAGAATGATTTCTTTTTCTCGCCCTCCACTCGATGCAAAAATATAGAATCGGAGGTGAAGCTCTCATCATTAGTTCGTGCCGACTGTTAATTTTGTAAAGAACTTTCCGAAACGACTTTTTCCATACTTACTTTGCTCAACGGGGTTAAAAGCAAAAATCATTGGAAAAAATAATATCCAAATGAAGTTATAACAGGAATAAAGTAGTGGGTATATTGGAGGTCTGTTTGTATGCAGACACACACACACACACAGCAGACAGAGTGAACTGGAAGAATAAGAGTCTGTTCACGTGGAAGCGCATGCGGATAATTGAGGAAAGGATGAGGATGGCATATTGGGCATAATATAGGACAGATACAGTGGAAAGTATTGAAGGGGAAAGGGTAGTGGAATGGGACTGTGCCCCACATAACCACACGGGCTAAAACGAAGGCAGCAATGGGGAAAAGAGGCTTCAATGCTATAGTTGTAGTGTATGCCATCTCAGCATGGAAGCAGAATTCCAACGAGGGAAATGCTTGGATGAGAAGATTGGCCTCCTACCCTCCAACAGACAGACAAAGCACTAGGCCGGACAAGGGCAACGAAGCCCACAGTTGAAAACAGTCCCGCAATGCAATCCCCTTTTCTCTTTACATACAATCTTTTGGCTTGACGTCGTATAAAAAACCGGCCGTCAACTTGGCGAAACCCCTCCAACCGGTTATCAACCCCCCCCCCCCCCACGTTTACACCCTCCAAATTTATACCCCCGCGTTTACCTCTTGTTTACATCCCCCTGTGCACACTTCCTCCCACGTTTATCCTGCTCTACGTAGGGGGGGGGGGGGGGGGTGGGGGTAAACGGGAGGATGGTGTAAACGGGGGAGGCGGTAAACGTGGGGGAGGGTGTGGAGGTGTAAACGTGGGGGTTTTTATACTGCCCAAAGGGCTGACATGTGTCGGCAATGGGAGGTAAAATTAACTAGGGAGAGAAAAAAAAACAATTTATGAGAAAAATTGAGAACCAAAAAAGATAAATAATCTTAAAGTTTTTTAGGCCGTGTAGAAGTATGCCTGTGTATTACTTCGGTAACGTAAGAACATCACGAAAAAGAATCACGAAAACAACACGAAAAAAAAACTTTAATTCACATAAATACGCTAGCACACTGGCTGTGTGAACATAAGACACTGACTAAAACGTTGACCTTGGTGGTCCTATGACATATTTAAAAGATACGTAAATATAGTATGACCTCTACACCACATTCCCCTTCAAGGCAATTCATAACTGACACTAAATATACATAGCACCTATAGTGATTTCAAAATAAAATACATTAGTTCGTTCATAGACCTTAACTAGTCTTTAACCGTAGGTTAGAGCTCTATCCCTCCCGAAAGGAGCTCTATCCTCCTCCTCCTTCTCCTCCTCAGCCTAAGTTTTCGAGTTTCTCGAGAATCTGCCGGTGGTCGTTTTTGGTCATACTAATGGCCGATAATTAATCCACGATAACCAAATCGTCGATCGCCAATGGACCGCTAGAATCCCCGCTAGTATTGATGTCCGCTATCCCTTGTATCACGGCCACTGGCTCTATTTTTTCTCTCCACCTTTCTCGTCCGCACTTGAATCTTGTGGTTGTATTGAAATCGCCACTGCTTCCACAGCCTTTGGCGTTTCCCCTTAACCGAATCAACAGCTTTTGGCAATTTGTCTGTGATCGCTTTCTGGTTTCCGTTTGTCATTATTGAAATGTTTTCGTTTCGGTTGTCGCTTGACTTAATTGGGGTAATAGTCTTAACTCTTCTAGCCGCCGGTAACGTACGGTTCAAATTGCTTGGTCTAATTTGTACCAGTAAAACTCTCCCAGCCTGATCTGTGCTAGTTTTTTGAATTTCCGCCGAGGGCAACGTCGACAAGTTTACTCAGATTCGGATTGCGGCGACTGTTCCATAGTCGGGCTTCCAGGCCCTGATATAACGATTGTAATCGAAAACCGTCGATAACTTTACGTGCTTCATCTGTCATCGTTGAGATTCCTGATGAATGGTTAATAGAGCGCCTGAGCTTATCCAGAACATCAACAAAATGTCCGGAAACTTGTTGATCAAGAACTGTCATGTCGTCCTGGATGTAATCCTTCCCCAGTAAAAGCGGTACAATTCTCTTTCAAAATATGTATCGTCTGCTCTCCGTCTTTTTGGGCTCGGAATCTTCTTCGGAGACAATTGCACAATAATTCTCTTACTGTTTTTGCGGTACTAGTTACCGCGTTACTCCCTCCTCTATTGCGATTCACTAAACTTGGCGTACCACTCGTCGCCGCCTTTGACAATCCTTCTAATTCTTCATTTGAGGTGTTTTGCGTCTGTCCTACTACGTTCACACCCGCTGCGCCGCCGGTAACTACGCTCGTAACAACCTGTCTCCCAAGAACTTAGGTGGCCGACGCTCCCTTAATGGCCGTGTTTTATGCCGAGTTACCGCTTTATTCTGTTTGACGGCACTCCCCTGGCTCGGACCTGGACTAGTCTGCGGCGGGGTTTTCGGCTCCTCCTGTGTTATGTCTTTTGGCACCTTTTGAGGTGATGACATTACCGCTTCGGATTTTGGCCCTTGCGTGTGCATTTCCTGTGAGTTATCGATATCTCTTTCCTCCGATTCTTCCTCCCCGTCCTCCGCGGATGACAATTCGATTTGATTATCCGGTACTGGGACTGGCCCCATTCGAAACGCACTTCCCTCCTCCGAGCTGGAGTATGGCACGGTGCCTCTCTGAGAAGTTCCTTCTGTCGATACGAACGTTTGAGACTCCTCTTTCATGTCAGTGGCATGCTTATTTTCCACTATCCGTTCTGATGGCAATATGTCCGGTTGCTGCTGCACTTCTATATCCTTTCCGGACTCGCCGTTGACATAAGCCCCTCCGATGAGCTATCGATCAAAATCGGATCCTCCGCAGTTCTACTGGTTTGATATGCCCCGACTTACAAGGTGGTTTTTCTCTCTCTTTAGAAGCCGCCAACGCCGCTGTTTTCCGTGCATCCCACTCGGTTTGTACTCCGTGTGAACACGTGTGAACATAAAACACTGACTCTAACGTTGACTGGTCCTATGACCTTATATAATAGCATACGTAATTATAGTATGACCTCTACACCACAGGCCGAATCAAATTTTAATTTATCTGTAATATGTATCAGGCCAAAATCAATTATTAGATTTTGAATATACTGCACTTTCCTTAGAAATTTCAGGAAAATTACCAACAGATGGTTTATTATCTATTATAATTGAGTATAATTGACTAAAATTGATTTTTTTATTTTGTCAAAGAATAAATTATACTCCATTTTCAATCGCTTATTAGGGATCTTTTTCTAAAATTATAGAGTCTGACAGTGTAATTTTTATCTAATCGTTATTCTCCATAAAACTCCAGTACGGGATGATTTTCATTCTATAATAATCATACTCAGTTCGCAAAAAAATGGTATTTCCGAAGCCTTGAATGTTCCACCTGCTTTTTAACATTAATCAATCAGTTTAATTTTTTGAAATTGAGGTAGCTTTTAGAAAAAATAAACAATCGAAAGTTTTGGTCAATCTTATAGTCTTTTATTGAAAACTTCGCCCCATAGGCCATGGAAAGTATAAATTATGCATTTAGCGTCTAGTAACGTACCACCAAGACTGCTTGTGTCTTAGGGCAAAGCCGTGAATGTACCGACTGCTTTTGAAGGCCAATTTTAAAAAATGAATGACTGGTTGACGAAGTAATTGCGAAGAAAAAATAATTTTTGTGATAGGATTTTTTCAAATTTTTTTGTGCCTATTGGCCGAAGTAGCACTTTTCCAGCCACTGTAACTTCCAGAAAATCATCACATGTAAAATATCTTTTTACACTTCATTTCAGTTGGTAAATTGTTCTGTCACAAACTCTTAATTGAAAAGTCGACAATTGACTGAAAAAAAAACACCCCAGGCATAAATATTCTGAGCAAGGTTATATGGCTGCTTACCTATTAACATCACGAAGAAATCGGGCGATAGTTGTCCCTAGTTTGGCTGCTAATTTGACAAAATCTAATTTTTCAAAAATTGATAACAGGTAAGAATCAATTTTAAACCTGAGCTCAAAACTCGAACTAGAAAGGGAAAATTTTTTTAGCATTGAGATCAATCATAGCAAACATATATAAATGAACTTTAGGGATCAAATAATTGAGCCGTTTATTTTCTGAAAATTAATTTCCATAATTTTAAATGAGACTAGTTTGCTCGTACCAAGGCAACACCTTGAATATTTTGACTGCATGTTAATGATCATGGAAAAAGTTCAACTATGAAATTTTCGTAACAAATGATTCAACCCCCAGTCGCTATTTGAAAAAAAAGATAATTGTAACATCTAATAACGGGTTTATTGGAATAACTACCACACCTCTATTCAACTATTTAACCTCGTTTTCTAAGTTTGAATTTCAGTCAGTCAGAATCGGGCATAACTAGCAGCATAATTTAATATAAACCAAGTCAACTATGTGGTGGAAGGTATCATTTTGGTCAGTTTTGTGACCACATTTGATTCATAGAAATTATTTTGGAAATACTATACAATGTGGTAATATGGTGGACTGAAAAACATGTATATTTCCATATGTAAAAAGCGAGTTGTCCAAAGTGGCAGAAAAAGAACCTCAAGCTGCTTTAGTTGGATTAACAAGATCACTGCAATGCGAATGGAATTTTGTCCAGAGAGTAGTCAAAGATACGTCGCAGTTGTTTGCTCCTCTCGAGAAGATGTTGGAGGAAAACTTTTTGCCGAGCTTACTAGGAACTTCTAGTGTCAGATCGTGTTTTGTATTCACTTCCTGTCAAAAGAGGGGGACTAGGTGTACGAAATCCAATAGAAGGTTCCGAACTAGCATTTTCCACTTCACGTGAAGCAACCGACTGTCTCGTGAGTTCGATCCTTAACCAAGATGATTTCGACCAAACTCTACACAAAACAAAAATGAGAGAAGCAAGAAAAAATCACGAGGAGAAACAAAATGCCGTGGACAAAGATAAACTCGATGAATTGCTTGCAGTTTTACCAGCAGATCAGAAACGAGCGATCCGGAGAATAATCGACAACAACTGTTCCTTGTGGCTAACTTTGCTGCCCTTGTTGAAAGATAATTTTGATTTGTCAGCCACAGAGTTCAGAGACGCTCTATGTGTCAGGTACAGAAAACCACTCAAACGTTCTTTCTCGAGATGCGATGGATGTCAACAAGATTTTGA